CACCTCCCTCCATCAACTCTCAGTTTGTTATCTTTCGGTTAGACTCTCTTATGGCCGGGCGCCTGGGGGGCTCAGTCGGTTAAGCGTCTGCCTTCGGCTCAGGTCATGATCCCAGGGTCCCGGGATCGAGTCCCGCATCGGGCTCCCTGCTCGGCGGGGAGTCTGCTGCTCCCTCTTACTCTGCCTGCCACTCCCCCTGCTTGTGCTCTTTCTCTGTCAAATAAATAAAATCTTAAAAAAAAAAAGTCTCTTATGGCTTGTTTCCCTCTCTCTTTTCTCTTTTTTTCCTTCCCGCTATGTTGATCTGTTTCGTTTTCTTAAATTCCATGGATGAGTGAAATCATACTTTATCAACTGTTTAGAAGACTGTTTCGTATTGAATTGAACATAACTTGTAATCATAGGGCCTAGGCAAGTTTATATCCTCTTTTTTTCTGGGCATTAGTTTTTTCCAGCTATTTACATGGTCCACATATTCTTTTTTGGAGGCAGTTCATTATTCTGTGATCGTAGTATTATTATGTATTCAGTGCCAGTTGGTGCTTCGGACTCTTGTGCATATTGCATGTTTCCTGTTTCCTGTTTTCCTGATAGCATCTTTGCACATAGTTTTCTATGTGGGATTACCTGGTCAAAGGAAGTTAGATATTTTATTCTGTTCTTTGGAAATACCTGCATCGGTTCATAGCCAGTAGATTTTCATGGCCTTTCACCAGTGTATTGTTTTTATCACTACTATTATGCAGATTTTAAGGCGTCTGTCTCAGTAAAGCTGCTCTCTTTTCATAGAAGATTGTACTTAATTTGATGCCTGTTGATGGATTTTAGTTTTAAACTGGCACACTCAGAAAGAGATTCCTTGCTTGTTCTGGGCAGACTGTGCTTCTCAGCAGGTGCATCCATTCACAAACCCGGGGCGTGTTTGTTCCTGGTCAGAAGGGATGAAGGTCAGTGAAGTCTCTCCCCTTTCCAGAAAACTTGCTTTTAGCTTGTTCTGTGTGAACTTTCTTAGTTTCCTTTAACCTTGCTCTGCTGAGAGCCACAGTCACTGTAAAATCCGTAGCAAAGCTGGTGTTTGGGGGCACCTGTTTTGCATCTTAGAAAATTACTCTTGTGATCATATTCTTCGATTCTTCTGTTCTTTTCGTACCAAACATTGTGCCATGTAATTCCCCTTCATGTTATTAAGTCAGTATTAAATAGTATTCAGTGAGCAGATGGACCTTGGGTTTGTTGCTTTTTTTTTTTAAACTTTTTTTTTTTTTCCCAAAGATTTTATTTATTTATTTGAGAGAGAATGAGAGAGAGAGAGCACATGAGAGGGGGGAGGGTCAGAGGGAGGAGCAGACTCCCTGCTGAGCAGAGAGCCCGATGCGGGACTCGATCCCGGGACTCCAGGATCATGACCTGAGCCGAAGGCAGTCGCTTAACCAACTGAGCCACCCAGGCGCCCCGGGTTTGTTGCTTTTTAACCCCCATTCTGCTATTACCGAGCATTTGTAATTTTGCAAGTACCTATAATTTTGCAGTGTGTGAGATTTTGGGGTGTGGGGTGGTGGCTACTAGGGGTTATTACCCTAGAGCTGCGATTCCAGATGCAAGGGGAGGAACTTTGAGTGGCGGCTCTCAGACCCCGTGCTCATGGACGCGGTCTTCCTTCCACGGGAGGGAACACTCTCCTCTCCGATGGCAGGTCCACCTCCCTCGTAACGTAGACCCGACGGAGAGTTCTGCACGCCGTGCTAGACTGTTCTCCATCCTCAGAGTACCTTACACGCCATCCCTCGAATGGGAAATACTATTCCGGATCCTGTGCACATCACGATTATTAGCTCCGTAGACAGGCCAGTTCATAAGAGTGCAATTGAAAGAGCGTGTGGGCCAAAAGAAAAAATCCTTGTGGGTGGAATTACAGGTCATTTCTCCTTGTGTTTTTGTGATTTTCCGTAACGTGCTTGTATTGTCTTTGTGAGTAAAGAAAGAGGGGGGTGGTCTAAATTGAGATGCACAAATGGGTGAGGCAGACCGGGTGCCCCAGGAATGCAGACCATGAGACCGTGAGAAGCGTCCTGGTGGCTCAGGTGGCTCAGGTTCTGGCCAGGGGAGGGGACAGGAGACCAGGCCCTGGCAGGAGGCCTGCGGGCCGGGTGCCCGCCCCGCTCAGCCGCATGGCGGTCACAGGAGGGGGCTCTGGGCCCCGAGCACGTGCGGGGACTGGGCTCCAGGAGCACTTCCCTCAGCTGTGGGAGCTGCTCGGGAAGACTCGGCGGGCATCCAGCGAGGCCTCTCCAGGGACGGGTAGGGTGTCCTGTGAAAATTTCTCACTGGAAGAGAAAGGGAGTTACTCCTGATGAGAGGTATCCTCACCTTTTGGTAGTTGGACTGAGACAACTTTTCTTCCTGTCCTGGAAAAGGCAAAGTTCTCGGACCATCTACTGGATTGGCAGTCACTATTGCTTGTTAGTCGGGGCTACTGGTAACCTACGCTTTTACGTTGCAGCCAGCACTTTTGCAGACTTCATCTTCAAGATTTGATGTCCTGACCTCTTAGGTGTTGCAGCAAATGTGTAGAAATGAGTGGCATTGGATTCGGGTCGGCCTCTAGAGCTGGGCTGCCTGGGCCAGTAGCCCCTAGCTAGTACTGGTTAAATTTAAACAGAGGAAAGCTTCGGTTCCTCATCGCTCTGATAACCCCATCTCAGGGGCTCAGTGGTCACGTACAGGTGGCCGTGGCCATGTCGGATCGCGAGACAAAGTACGGCTGTGCCGCCAGAGAAGGTCTAACAGCGCTGCTCTAGAGGGAACCACTCCCTTTTCTTTGCATGGTAACATGCGAAATAATGGGCCAGTGGGTTCATAGGGTGTGTATCTTAAAGCTTTCTCTGAGCAAAAGATCCCACACTGGAGGGAGAGTGCCTTTGTCATTCTTTGCAAATGAAAACATTCCGGGTGGGAGCGCCTGGCTGGCTCAGTCGGAGGAACACGCGACTCTCAATCTCGGGGTTGTGAGTTTGAGCCCCACAACACTGGGTGTAGAGATGACTAAAAAGATGTACACATGAACTTAAAAAGAACACCCTGGGTGGACTCAGCACCTCTACTCATTTAAAGAAGCCTGGAGCGGATTCGAATGAACTGTTCCCTTTCTGATGAACCCCTTATTTGCATCTGCTAAGCTTACTTGAAATACTACCACACAGCTGCATAGACCTTGAAGGGTGATCGCCTGGGTGGGGAGGGGGAAGGTGGCTTGTTCGGTGTTGCTTAGTGTCGGGCAGGTAGGTGTCTGCTTCCTCACACGTCTGGCTGGACCACCCATGGGAAATGCACATGGGGAGCTTTCCTGACCCTGCCTGTTTCTTCCCTGTAGGAGAACTGCGGCATATCACCAAGCTGAAGCCCTGGAGCCTCTTTGACGTCCTTGTGGAAAAGTATGGGTGGCCCCATGAAGATGCTGCACAGTTTACAGATTTCCTGATCCCCATGTTAGAAATGGTTCCAGAAAAACGAGCCTCAGCTGGCGAATGCCTTCGGCATCCTTGGTTGAATTCTTAGCAGATTCTACAAATAGAGCATTCTGAGCTAGCAAATGTTTTCCAGTACATTGGACCTAAACGGTGACTCTCATTCTTTAACAGGATTACAAGTGAGCTGGCTTCATCCTCAGACCTTTATTTTGCTTTGAGGTACTGTTGTTTGACATTTTGCTTTTTGTGCACTGTGATCCTGGGGAAGGGTAGTCTTTTGTCCTCAGCTTAGTAGTTTACTGACCCACTTTCTTCTGGAAACAATAACATGTCTCTAAGCATTGTTTCTTGTGTTGTGTGACATTCGAATGTCCATTTTTTTGAACGAAAAATACTTTCCCCCTTGTGTTTTGGCAGGTTTTGTAACTATTTATGAAGAAATATTTTAGCTGAGTACTATATAATTTACCATCTTAAGAAATTATCAAGTTGGAACCAAGAAATAGCAAGGAAATGTACAATTTTATCTTCGGGCAGAGGGACATCATTCCTGTATTATAGTGTATGTAAATGCACCTGTAAATGTTAATCTCCATTAAATATGGGATGGGGACTCAAATTTCAGAAAAGCTACCAAGTCTTGAGTGCTTTGTAGCCCGAGTTGCATGTAGCGGACTTGAACTGCTCCCAGGAGCCGTGCAGACTTTTCATTCCGTAACAGTCCTTTTACATTGGATTTTAAAGAAAGTGGCTCTGAGTTATGTCATTCCCTATATGGCACTTTAAAGCAAGAAAAGACATGCTTTCATTCTAAGATACGTATTATACTTTTAGCACTCCCATTCATATTTTTGCATATTTTTAAAAGTACTTTAAAGGAAAAAGAGCAATTTCCCTTTAAAAATGTGATAGCCCAGAACCATGTGGTGTTGCCTCCTCCAAACACTTGTAAGTTAAACTCTCCGTAGATTAAATCGGACAACAAAACCATGTGCAGTGTGTGGAATGAGAAAAAACAGAATATTTATGTATATATATATTTTTTGGAAGAGCTGGCTTGTGTTTGTCCAAAACCCAGGTATGGTATGCAGTTAGTGCGGCGGGCACGACCCGAGCTGGCCGCTGCGAGGTCACAGGGATCACGCTCATTCCCCAGGCAGTGAGCCGCGCAGCTACAACGTCACTGGCTGGTTCATTGTCTTCCCTGCATTGAAGTTGAGAAAACAATTTCCCTTTGCAGGTTGCACACGATTTTGTTTATGCCTTTCCTTAACGTTGTAGAATCCAGGACACAAACCATAGTAGGCAATACAATTTTAGAATGTAATATACGGAGGTGTATTTAGCCTCTTTTAGAAGTCAGTGGATTGAATGTCAGGTTTTTTTAAAATTTTACATTCATTAAGGTGCCTCGTTTTTCTTGACTTTGTCCATTAACATTTATCCATATGCCTTTGCAATAACTAGATTGTGAAAAGATAACAAGTGTTGTAATAATAATCCATTGTTTGAGGTGCTTGCAGTTATCTTAAAAATTAAAGTGTTTTGGTTTTTTTTTTTTTTTCTTTCCCAGACATTGCCTTGGTCATTGGCCTGTATTTGAAGCGGTAGAATCAACAAACATTTGCTCTCCTTTTAGTGTAGGGTAACCCAAACTAAAGGAAGTATCAACATTCCCGTTGCAGGAAAGGTAGCTGTAGAACATGCATTAAGGCTTATTGTAAGGAAATCATTCGTCGTTTTGTAAGAGTAGAATATGGATTTAGAAGAATTGCTGTAGGACAGATGCACTACCTAGAATGTCAGTGATTCTTTTTCATTCATGTTCCATCAAAAACATACTAATTACATTGTGTTTGAGCATTGCAAATTTTTTCTTTTTAACAGTATTCACCTTGAAGGGAACAAGACCCATCGTTTCAGGAGTTAGCATGCTCTCACACATCGCCGTGAGGTTCCTTAGGCATCGTGCATGCTGGGGTTTTCTGACGAGGCTGTAGGTTATCCTGTAGGTTCTGCGACAGATGGTTGCTGCAGACTGTTTCTGTAGGAGCCATGCTCACAAGAACCGCAAAGTCTGTCTGTCTTCCCTAACTCTGAAGAATTTGTATCAGGGTTTATAGCACACTTGAATGTAAGTGATCCTAATGCAGTTTCGGCTCATGCTAGGAAATAAACCTGATTGTTAGGAATTTGTAAAGATCAGTCCCTTATAAAAGAGCCTAACTGGTGTACAATGTAAAAAAGTTGCTCTAGAAGGAATCTACATTTGTATTAGGTATAGTATGGTTTTTAGCAGAATCTTGGCGGCTTGATGAGAAGAGAATACTCCGCTGAATGAGCAGCACTGGTTACGCAGCTCCCTGCAGCCGGCTCGGGGGTTTTGGTGAAGGTCCTGGCTTTTCCTCTCGTTAGTCCGTGTCAAGTCTTCACGGAGAAGGACAAGCAGTGGATCGTGATTGTAGCAGATGAGAAGCTGACTGTCTGGAAATTAGAACTGCTCAAAGGCCAAAAAAAGCAAATTTAGAGGCTTCAGGAAAGCATAAACTTTTCAGGTGAAAACTGATTTACTAACTTGCTTCTTCTTGTACCTGGATCATACCTAACTAGTTAAACACGATAAACTACTATTTCTCCTTGGGTAGAGAACTTCAGTTGAGATTATTCCTTAAATTCCAGTTTCTCTTCCGTTATTGTTTTTGTAACTTTTAATGAGACAATATTTGAGAGTGTATGTGCCCTTCATCGAGGAGTCAAGGAACTACATTAGATTTTGCAGTCAGAGAAACGCTTCTCTATCAATTACTTGTGTAGTAGGCAGATTTGTAACAGGAATTTTAAATCCTTAGAAGGCCAGTCCTTTTAAAGAGGTGAAGAATGCTACTCACTGTGCTAACAGTTAACCACCTTTGTTCTGTGAAACCATTGGGCCGGGTGATGTAAAGCCACGTTTTCTTGGACAAGTGTTTCTTTAGTGAGTACCGTAAGTAGAGTGTTGTATGCTAAAGTCGAGAAGGGCAAAGTTGAGCCAAGTTCTTTTAAAACTTGAAGCTGACTAGAGTTGAGCCCTAAATGCAGCTCTCTTCATGTACCATCATTAGCTGGTTTTCAAAAGGAAATGGACATTAAAAGTTACTGTAAAACATGACTTTCATTACTGCCAAATATTAATCCAGTCAGTTTTAGTCTGATGCTTTTCTCCAAAGCACAGAATGTATGTGCTGTGCCAAATTATGTCAATTAGGTGAAAATTAGAAAAAATGTGTTCATTACTTATGGTTCTACTTAATTAATCCTAAGAGGTAGAAGACAAAGAAAAATTTATTTTTCCAAAACAAAAACTAGCATTGGGTATTTCAGCAAAGTGTCCAAGAGGCTATTTTCATTTCACTTGAGAACTTTAATAATAATGCTGTTTTCGTTTTATATGCCCGAAACAAATTTTTAAGACCTCCTATTACTTTCTTTTTAATACTATAGCTAGAGAGTAAATGTTAAGGTTTTCAAATAATTTTGATTCATCAGTAGGACACTGCAGTCATGCATGTTCTGCAATGTACAAATGAGTTATGTGTGTTGTCAGGCAAAGCTACACCATGTTTTCAAACAGTTGTCAGTTCCGGTCTAGAACTCGATCACGTGTAATACTTGAACGATATGGGTTCACAGTTTGTATGATGTCAGTTGGAGGTAGAACCTCCACCCAGCAGAGGAGTTTCCTGCACTGACAGGAAGGAGCGTTGCAGGAACAACCCAACCCCTCACTGCCTCCTGAAGTCCACCGCAGTCCAGCTGAGGTAGGTGTAGCTGAAGAAAAGGGAAGGCCACTGACAAACTAGAGCTGAAAAAATGGAACTTTTGTAAAAAAAAAACTTGTTTAAACAGACTCCAATCTCAGAAGTTGTACAGGACAATTTGGTAAAACTGACATAATTGTGATTTATTAACATGAATTAAAATGCCCAACCAGTGCTTCAATGTGACAGTATATTTAAAATAAAAAAGAAATTAAAGGCCATATACTGTACTACTTTCACAAAGATCACACAGTTTTGCAAAGACTTGTCATATGTACAATGCTATATATCAAATGAGAAAAGCTGTAAGCAATTATATACGCAAAAGAAATGCAGTATTTACAGTTTGTCAGGAGACATTAAAAATCTATACATTAAATTACATTTTGCTTGCAAATAACCGATAAAACAAAATGAGCCATGTCCACACCAAACTATAAGAATCTGTATTGCATTTTTTTTTTTTTTTTTAAATACCTAAGATGCACTCACAGAACTGCTGACAGGAGAAAAATGAAAATCCTCATAGTGCCATTACTTAGCTGTGTACTTAAATGCGTATGTATAAAATAATATAGAAAACATTCACTAAATGAATTTTAACTGCAACAGTAAAATTTAAAGATCATGTAGCATCAAATCTACTGCCAGAAAAACAGCTGGAATGTTCACTTTACAAAATAAAGATACCTAATACTGGCTTAACAGCACATTTTTTAAGGAATTTTAAAAAAGCAAAAATGGGAAAAATACAATGAAAGAGCACTGGTGTTTGTTTTTTTTATACAAAGTTTCATGTACAAGCTTTAAAAAGTACCTTAATAGGTACATATGAAATATACAGTTTATCTTACAGAACATTTTAAAAAATGCTTTCGGAGTCCATTTTAATGCCACCCCGAACCATGGTAATTGTTCTGAAATGTTGGTGGCACCTGTGCTCTGTGGATCGGAATCTGTCCAGGCACTGGGGATGCCTGCTGAGGTCCTTGAACCCCATGTGGCAGGGCCACAGAGCCAGGATGAGGACAGAACCCCGAAGCAGTCGGTGTCGGAATACTGTTTGGTCCTTGGGGCTGGAGATGAGGACCCGCGACTGGGAGTGGACAGTGTGGCCCTGTTCCAGAAGGCTGGTGTTGGGGTCCCGGTCCCAGGGTGGTGTGATGTGTGGCTGGGGAGGGATACGGTGGTACGGCTGGATGAGCACTTGCAGGAAAAAGTGGAGGTCCTTGATGAGGTGGATGGTGTAAGGCTTGAGCAGAGGGGGGATGGTGCCCGGAAGCCAGGACACCGGAAGGTGGCGGCGGCGGCGGCGGGGGGGGCGCTGAACTGACCACATGCTGGTGTTGTGCTGGTAGACCTTGGAGTCCTGTGGAAGGATGGGGTGGCGGGTGGTGATGAGGGGCAGGACCGGGAGGTGGTGGGGGTGGTGGCAAATGGTGTCCAGCGGTTTGAGAATGAATGTGAGAGCCGGGGGTGACCGCGTGAACAGGCCCTACGACGTGAGCGACAGAGTGCTGCTGATGGGAGCTGGGCTGCGG